TTTGTGAGCATTTTGTAACCCTTTTGGGTTTTGATATTAGTACATTGATCTTGAGCTCCCGTGGAAGTAGGCATATTTTCTCCTATTTGTAATTTTGTGAGTGCATTCTTTTTAGTGTGTGATCATAACCACCATTAGTTATTTGTTGGTCACGCTTCCACGCAACATAGATAAGGAGGAGACTTCTTGCCGAACCACGTAAATCCTCATCTTCCTTTTGTGTGTGTGTGTTTTCTCCTACGTATTATTTTGTGAGTGCATTTTTCTTTAGTGTGTGATCACAATCACCATTAATTATTTGTTGGACCCACGCTTTTGCACAACAGTGCCTTCAGATTATTGTTGTCCATGGTTCCCAATCTTTGAGGTGCCAGTTTCTTGACTTCATTAAAGAGTTGTTGAATTAAGCCTTTGAGAAGCTCTCTGAGATCAAAGGATTGTGAAACAGTGATCCAAGCATGGCTTTGAAAATGATTCTTCACCTCGATATTATCATAGACTTTCTTTATTTTTCCTATTCCCCTATTACCACCACAGAAAACACTTTGAGTCTCGAAGTGTCGCCCAAAAGCCACACAATTAGCTGCTTTTTGGGCCCTTAATGCCCACAAGCTCTGCCTCTTCCGGTAGCAATGAATCACTGTGACTATTATACCATGTGTTATTAACAGTATTGGAGCTTGAGCTTTGCTCTAAGACGTTAAATTTGTATTGTATAACTGTTCCATTGATCAACTGTATTGTATAACAGTTCCAACACATGCAGATTTAGTTTTAACTTTGAATTAGCAACACAAATGTTTAACGTTGGTATGTTTAATTGATTCAGTTATTTTAATTTTTTATTTTTTTGGAGAACTAAAAATTAAAATTTGGTTGACAGTTTTTCGATGCTCCCCCCGCCCCCCCCCCCCCCCCCCCCCATATATCGATATGACATTCATTATTCATTAGTTAAGCTCAGGATATCTTGTCAATACAATAACTTGCGCAAAAATTTTGACAACTACAACTACAACTACCTTACATCGCTTGGGCCACAACTTTACATTGTTGATTCGTAACTGATATATGTATATATATTGTTTGTGTAACCAATGTATTATTTTGTGTAAGCATAAGATCCCAACATAATAGGTGATCCTGATTCATTTTTATAGAATTATCTTTTATAATTCTCTCAAAACTATTTTCCATTTTTTTAGGTCTTGAATTTTATTTATTTATTTTTATTTTTTAAGTACAACACAATTAAGTCTAGTCCTTTAGTGCATCATCAACTTTTGGGCCATACACTGTCCTGATATATATTAAATACCAAAACAATTAAATTTAGTTCTTTTTATTTATTTATTTATTTTTAAAGCAATTTCAAGGCCAAAATGACAATTAGTAAGAAATTTGGTGGTTAGCCGGGGTAGAAAGTTGGATAGGATAAGTTATTTTGAGCAGTTTCAAGTTACATAATATATAGTAACTGCAATATAGAGATATATATATATATATATACACACACACACACGTATACAAATTTGAGTTTTCAAGTCTACTTAATTTGTGGTCAGACTGACAGAGCCATTTAGTTGGGGATCACAATCCTTCCTCAGGGAACCTAATGAATCATACGAGCCAACATAATATAGAGTTTATAAAGCTTGAATAGTTGAAAATAATGTTGCACTCGGTAACCCCCTTGTTTTGTGACAAAGATGGTTGAAAATAATGTTGCATTTGGAAGCAATAATTCTTTTGTAATTGAAATTATAGAAAATTTAATTTAAATTTTGAATAAAACTTCTCTGATTTCAATTTTGAAACGCTTTACGCTTATGTAGTGCTCCCTAACATAGCTTAATTAAATTTTTTACCCTATCGTGACACAACTGGATTGGTACAAAATTATGCATGATGGTTTAACCATTGTTTGGCCAATCTGGATATACATTTCATCATTTTGTGTTAATTCATCTTGATAGACATTAAATACTTATGGAATATTTCTTTCTGGACAATACTTGTCCACTTTTTCTTTTTCTTTTTTCTTTTTTTTTCTTTTTTTTTTTTTTTACAGATAATACTTATCTACTCACCCACATTTTGACAACTGATATTTTTTGGAAGAGTACTAAATCACTACGAAGGGAGTAAGCTGTTTGCGAAGCAATTGTTTTTTAGGTTAGCGACTCGTTTGCAAGATGGTGGGAGTGAGTGTAAGGTCTGGAGCAACTCGGCTTGGTTGTGTTTGAGTTTAGCAATGTGGTTTCAGCATAAGTCTATGTTAAGTTTGCTTCAATCCAGTAGACTGCTTTAATTTTGTCGTTTTTTCTCATTGAGATTTCATACATATAAATCTGGTATGTTTTGGAGCAATGCTACACGGCTCAAAAATTCGTGGTATGTATCTCGAATTTGAAAGACGGATATGTCTTTAATTTTAATAGATATTACACTATTTCTTTCTTGTTGAAATATTAACGTATTTAAGTTAAAGTTAAATTAAGGAAGCAGATAAGTTTAAAGATGAATAATGTATTTACGCATTTGTATGAATTATTCGTTGAAGGAGAATTGTGAACGAACATTAAATTAAGTTTCTCTTTAATTTTCTTTTCTCTACTTTTATCACACACACATATATATGCACACCTTATGCACTCTCGACTTTATAATTATAATAAATATGAAGATTATTGATCAATTTATCAATTTATTCACACATGTAGATTGTTGAGGAAATTAGGATTCTTATTCAATAGAAAGAGGACTCAAAATATAGTTTTAAAAAACTTTAAGTGGATTATGTATTTATTTAAGTACTCACACATAAAAATTGATTGAGAAATTTAGGTTTTTATTGAAGAAAAAGAGTCAACTCCTAAAACGTTTATCAAAAGTGTTCTGTTAGGTTTATTATAAATAATTTTTTCCTATTTTTTCTCTCAAACCTACCATGTATTTGCTTGACAAAATCGCATTCAAAATACACAAAGTTAAGTTATCATATCATTCGCCAAAAAGGTGAACAAAATTGCATTCAAAATACAAAAAGTTAAGTTATCATATCATCCGCCAAAAAGTTGGCATATCCTCAGTCATGAGATTGAAACGACTTAATTTCGAGTTTGAAATCAACTATAATCTCGTAATTGAGGTTGGCAAAAAACTTGTCTCAAGCTTTTCATGGTATCTCATGGGTTGTGTGAACTCCAACCAAATTGAAAGTTATGATTGTTTGAATTTTGAATTAATTTTCAGTAAATTTTGAACTTGACTATTCAATCTCTCCATGTACTCCAACGTTACTTGTTCATTATCAAAGTGCCAACTCCTTGAAGGGCTCCTCCAAACACTACCTTGCCTTAAATAGTAAACAACAAAGACAAAAACTGCAACCTTCTATAATTTATCGAGATTACACAAATGGACAACCTTATTTTTTTGTAAAGTGTTGTTGGAGTCCAAGTTCTTGAATTTGACCTTTTTTTTATACATGGTCTCTGTTAGAGCTGCAACTTGGGCGGGCAAACTCAACCCAACCCAACCCAAACCCAATCTAAAAATTTTCAAATTTGAACTTTAAATTCACAAATCGAGTTAAATTGGATTGGGTTTTGTCAAAACCCAGACATGTTCAGGTTTGGCTCGGACTCAACCCGAACCGAACCTAACCCAAAACCCAAAACCCAAAATAAAAAATAAATAAAAGAAACTTATGAAATTTTTTATTTTTTATTTTTTTCTCTCTCCTCTCTCTTCTTTCTCTTTCTCTCTCTTCTTTCTCAATATTATGGTGGTCTTAATTCTTGATGGTAAGTTCATTTTTATGGTGGCAATTATTATTTTTAAATTCTCGTGATGGCGGACATGTTGTGTGTTCGTTAGATCTGAACAATAACAAGCTAACATATAGCGATGCCAAATAACATCATCTAGCTTCAGCCCCATCCAGGCATCCATCATCAGTTTCATCTCTCCTTTATGCTTTTCCAAGAAGTACGCATCACCTGCATGACTCTAGGCTGAATCATTATTTTTATTTTTGGCTTATAATTAGGGTTTAATTTTACATTTTGCACATTTTCCGGTCACTACGGGTATTTTAAACATTTTGCCAATGACACTCTAAACCTCTTAATCATGAAATTAGCGATATTGCCGATAGCTCAGGGCATTGCTGAAGACCCTGAAGCAGTGGAAGCGTGGTTCGAAAAGCTAGGCCCGATGCCCGATTTCAGATTGAGGTTGGAATAAGACTGGGTTAGGTTGAGCCAGCCCAACTTGCAGACCTAATCTCTATAAAAGGAAATGCATTACATAAAAATTATCAATGAATAAATATAAATTGAGGACAGTAAGTGAGTTTGGGCTTGTGAACAATGTAACACAATATACAATAACTTGATCACTTGAAAAGGGAAAAAGAACAACACCATCAGTTACCCATAAGAATAAAATAAAAACAAAACATTAGGACTCTTCTCCATTTCTCTCTCTGATATAATTTCCTTCCCAACTACCTTCCAGGAATAATCTGAATGTTCAATATTTCTGTATCCAGATTCCAGCGTACATTTGAAAAAAAAAAAAAAACAAGAAGCTTAAAACTAAATTCTTCTCGATTTCAATAAATAAAAAATAAAAAATAAAACACAAGAAGCTTAAAACTAAATTTTCCTCAATTTGAAAAAAAAAAAAAAAACACAAGAAAGCTTAAAACAATGTAACACAATATACAACAACTTAATCACTTGAAAAAGGGAAAAGAACAAGGGATCATTACATATAAATGAGGTTAGGGCACTATATTTACTTAGAGGCTGAGTCAAAGTCTCAAAGTTTCTCTAAAATGTGTTTGACCCAAAGGCTGAGGTGGCACATGAAAAAATACTGTTTCATATTTCTGTTGCCTAAAGTACCCTTCTTCCTATTTTATGTATTGCCTAAAATACCCTTTTGTACACTTACTAATTCCTCTTTTCACATTCCATTCGTGCCGACCTCTCTCTCCCCCCTTCTCTGTAAACAGCAGCGATCAACAATCCTCTAACCATTTCCGTGCCTTTCGTGACAAATTGGATTACTGATATAATCCAATTATAGTGTTATATGTGTTTCTATATATGTAAATCTATATATATATATGTGGGTGTGGGTGTGTGTGTTTGATTGTTTGCGTGTATACAGAGTCATAGACACACTACAAGACTGATGGTGGTTGATTTATCGTGCCATTTGAGTGTTGGAGTTTCTCATCACATCCGCTCATGTAAGCATATTTGATTTGAATTTCTTTGGCTGAAATTTCATTTGTAAATTCTGAAACAAAATCAGAAAAGCTTGAACCCTAACAGATATGTGTGAGTATATGTTGGAGTTCCTTTCGTGAATCATAAATTGATTTTCTTTTTCTCAAAATCATAAATTCCTTTGATTGTTTGAATTCAAAAGCCACTTTATATTGTTGTCATTTAGGTTTTCTTCTACTTTTTCCCCCCTTGAAGAAGCCTACTAATTTAAAGTGATTTTTGTATTGCATGTGTTTGTACAAATGATACAATGAAAAAATGCCATGACAATGATCTTGTGAGGTGGCCATATCTAAAAGCAAGGTTATAAAGTCACAAAATTAAGTTTCCTCGCTGATTAAAGTTTGCATGATTAAATTAGTTGGTGAACTTAGATATTTGGTAGATGGTATAAGTGTTTTGGGCTTCTTGGACCAGAAAGAGTTGGAGATTTTTTGCATGCTAGTTGTTTTATCTTCTGTTTTACTCTTGGTCTTGGTGAAAGAGGTACCTGGGCCCTCGCTTGCCTTTTTTTTTTGGTATCTCGGATGCTTGATTCTTTAAGTGATTTGATGGCAAATTCAGCTGCTGCAACTTCTGTTGGAACTTTTTATCATCGCGAAAATCATCACTCTGATTCATTAGCGCACGAGGATCTAATTCCTGGTTTTTGTAAATTCTATTACGTGACCTAGGAATGTTCCAGTTTTTCTGTAGGAATTCTTTGTTGGTGAATTTTTTTCAAGTCTTACCCCTAGTTTCTAGTTTTGCTTTCCTATCTTTGTGGTTTTTCATACTGGAAGAGTTTTGATCATAGTTTTACTCCCCCTAGTCTCGAGTTTTACAATTGCGTTGCTGTGCATTTTTTTCCCTCTATAATCAATGCTTTTCTAAGTGGGCAAGAAATAGTGAAAAGTGTCTCTATTTAGAACTTAACCTACAATTTTTTTCTTTAAAGCATTGCTGATATCAAAATAGACCATATATGCCAATGATTCTTGAATATCTTCTGAATATAAGCAAAGATCATTTATTTTTCTTTTTTCGAACCTTTTGATCTGATTTCTCCGTACAACTCATGTTTCTATATTTGTAGATCTATTAATATAATCAATCTAGGTTTTTTTTTTTTGTTCTTCCGGTTTGTTTATGTGAGTATGTTATATGACTTTGTTCTTTTGAGATCTCTGCTCGTCCATTATTTTTTGTTGCTTTTTTTTTTTTGTCCCCCCATCTTGGTTCCTCTGTTTTTTTACTTTTCTTTTTTATTTGATAAGTCATGTTGATGGTGTTGGATAAACATTAGATGGATATAAAATGAGTGGTGGAATGGAGATTTAAATCTTTTGTCAATATGAATATATGATTGATTCTATTCTAGGTTGTATAACAATGGAAAAGAGTAATCATGTCATTTTTTTGTTTCATTTTTGCTTCTTCAGTTTCCATGACATCTTTTCTGGCAACCTCTCCTAATATTTCTGAGAAATTAATGGTTATGTGAAGGCTTGGGATGAAAAGAAGGTCGAGTTGGGAACTCCGTCACAAAAATGTTTCCTTCCCTTTCTCATCGGCATGCCAAACTGGTAAATTTTGATTCGACTTATTCCCCATTAAATATTTAATCTTATTTATATTGTATCTTTTTTGGAGGCTCGAGAAGGGATTCATCAGCTCCAAATATTCAAATTTGGGCCAGCGGTTAGCAAATTGTTTATAGCCTTCTCACCATGGCTTTAGGTAAGTCTAAGATAATTAATTTCTAATTTGTTTATGGTTTACTGTAGTCAATACGGTTTTAGTTTACTGTAGTCAGTCTAATATGTTTAATTCAAAACTTGTTAAACAAGGGGTGAAAAAGACTTCTACCACTGCACTACAAGAAAAATGACTTGAAATCTTCTACAACATTGCAAGATTATAATTCAAACAATGGAAAAAAATTGTCCAGTAAATAGGAGAAGACCAACAGCCAAAAACTAAGAGCAGCAACTTTAAAAACTAGTGCTGTTATTTTAACCAAAATCTGGAGTAAATAGGAGAAGAGTAGAAGCAAAGAAAATAATAATAATATAAAGGGCAGCAACTTCTTATTCCTCTGCAAAAGCTAGCCCGGTCCAATTTTTAGTTTTCTCTCTCCCGGTTCAAGCTCTGTTTTTCTTCCTATCTCCTTGCTCAATCTCTTGAATTAGGCACGTCGTCAAAATCAGAAAATCTGGTTGTTGAAACAGAGTCTGTTGAAAATTTGTAGGGATGAATCCTATTTAAACTCCACTAATTCAACCATAAAATCCCAACCATAACATCAAAAAGAAAGTAAAAAAAAATTAATAGCTCAGTTAAAATCTGGTGAAACATGACCAAGAAATCTGGAGCTTAAAAGCTTAACAAGAAATCTGAAACTTAAAAGCTCTTGGGTTGATCAAAGCTGGCCCAAGTTTTAAAAAATTCAGTTTTCAAATTTGGTCCAAATGTGAACGACTAATTTAAGCCAAAAGATAAAATTGGCTTTTGAATTCCAAAATAAAACCCTTTGTGACAGTGGTAATCTACATAATGTTATTAATCACTGCAACAAAAAAGTAAATTGTCTTTCTGCGAATTGTAATTAAACAATCAACTATATAACGAAATTTTCAAAATAAAAATCCAATTCTGCCAACCACAAAAACGAACTTGACAATCAATATATCATTTGTTTTTCCTTTCTTTCAATTTCTCAGTAATCAAACAGTGGGGGCATGAGCAATACAACTTTTCAGCTCAATCACCTTCTCTGTTTTTACTTTCCCAATCTCAATGTAAAGCAAGCACACAAAGTAGAAGAATTAAAAATAAAAATAAAAAATAAAAAATCAGTTTTTCATAGATTTCTCAACCCTAAGCCAATATACCAGTTTTACCGTTGCTTATAAACACCTCATCTTTAGATAACCAAAACCAAAATGTTAATTCTAGTACATAATTGGTGTAAGACTCTGGTGGATCACTATTTTGGAACCCCATGTTTCCTGGTTGTTGTTGTCAAACTTTTCATATATGCATGTTATTGGCATTGTCTCATGCTGGTAATGACTGCACACTGATCAGCCACCAAAGGATTATGCCGTTTGCTATATTCAATAAAAAAAAGTTATTTCTATTGCAAAGTTTGTGAAACATGAACATTAACCCATAGTCTAGAGTGGCCAGAGGCCAATTTCTTGTCTATACTCAAAACTGAACTTTTATTTTTTTACAGTTCTACTACTGGTTCAAGTAAAACCTCACTTTCTTATGCCTTTTTTCTCGTTTTTCATTGCAGTTTGGTGAGGTGGATATTGAGGGTTCATTGGTTGCTAGTATTATTTTAAACAAGGTATATTAGATTTCTTCTCAATAATCAGGAACTATAGCTGACTTATTATGACTTCCTTTGGAATTCAATGAATTCTTTTTCTACTATCTTTATGCTCTTCATTGTATAATGTTGGCAGATAGATTTGGTGACTGAGGCTGAATTGGAGGTGTTGACAAAGCGAATTCAGTTAGGCTTTCACCTTGTACATAGATAGATTTTACTTGTATCTTTGAAATGTGGTTACTCATTGAATTGGGAGGGTTAGAGGTGTTTTTAGACTGTTCCAAGAGAAACTGAACTTGTATGAATGTGGAAAGTGGTAAAACGGTTGTTGGCATTTTTATATCTATTTGATTCCGGCATAATGATCGATTCTTTGAAGTTTAGGCACTTCTTCGGTTAGTTCAGCTGTGGGTTTTGCTGTTGCCTTTTGACAAGCCAAATTTAACTTTAGTCTGGTTTTGATATATATTTTTCTATATCAATGTTATGGTCAACTCGTCTACTGAAAATTGCATTATGTGAAATTTCTTATTTTAAAATTTCTGAACACAAAAAGTAATTACAATATTTTACACAATAGGTATCTGTTTGTGCAGTCAATGGGGTATAAAATTAAAAAAATAGAAATGAAAATTTAAGAATGCATTTGAAGCTTACATGTCTATAACAAACTAGGGTTAATACTGAAAGTGCTCAATAGGTTCAATTATTCAACTTATTCATGTAATAGTTTATGGTATAGCCTTGTGCTAGTATGTTGCTTAATTTGTCATATATGTTCTACTGGTATAGCTTTATGTTAAATGAACAGTGAATTCTCTTTCATCTTTCCTTGGCATGCTATTGATTCTGCAGCTTTTGGATTTTTGGTGCACTTTTGTCAACATATCAATGGGATGACACAGTTAAAGCTGGCTAAATATGGCGTTGTCGACATGGACTTTGTTTTGGGAGTGGGCGGTTATGATCTAGATAGGTGATTCAGAGTTTTTTGCTTTTTTCATAGTATTTTTTTCCCTATTTGTGGTTAGGAAATACAAATGCCACTGCATATCCATATCATAAGTGGTATTGGGTAATATCATATTCCATGACGTTTGAACATGCCATTCGTTTTGCAGAATTGATTCAGAGGTTCAGTCGGATAGTTCTCATTGTGAATCCCATCAGTGTTGTTAAAGGCGCGCCTAGGCTCAAGGCTCAGGTTTAGCGCTTGTTGCCATCCCAGGCTCATTGATGTTGGAAATGAGAAAGACCGGATCGAGGTGAAGATGAGAAACGATGTACAGAAGATGGTCATTTCCAAATGGAAAGGCATCACCACCATCAAAATCAACAACTGAGCTTCCATCGCTGTCCTTCCGAGCTCATCTATGTTCATCATGTTTGCTTAATTCTTTTTTAGGGTTTGTTCATTGATCGATTGATCTCTTTTGATTTCACTATGTTCTGGTTTTTGAAGCTTTGAAAAATGTTGATGCTCTATGTAGTTGATGGATCTTTTGTTTGAGGGTTCCCAAATCCCAACTGAAAAATGTTGATGCTTTGCGTGTGCACCACAAATTTCTGTGTAGAAACATGCCAAACGGGAGAATACAAAATTCTCTTTCTAATTTCTGAACTTATACGACATCATAGCTTTGAATCTTTTGCTAATGGAAATTGTCTAACATGTCAGCTTGAGGAAGAAAATTTCATTTGGAAAGAGAATGCTGCTATTATCTCATAGTCGAGTCGGGTCACTAATACCATGAACACCCAAACTGAAAAACAGCAAATTACAATTTCCAATGCATTTAAAAGAAATTAGTCTTGCTTGTGTTCGTGTTTCCAGATAAGATTTCCAAATCAATTAAGTGAAATTTCTGGAGGGACACAAAGCAAAACCAGACCAAGAGCATGAGCATTGGAACCTTGAGAAGCAGTGCTAAAATACAGACCATGAAAATTTTAAAAACAGCTGATTTACATTGAAGGAACAATAAACAGGTTAACCCACAAAGACTACCTTACAACTTTAGAGAAACAGGTTCCAGTCTGGAAGACTACAGGATCTCAAAATAATTACTGCACCAGAATTTGCTTTATTAATTGGAGTTCCCGAGCAGGGGTCACAAAGAAAGAGAAAGTAGGGCATATTTCGCTAAAATTACTGCACTAGAATTTGCTTCATTAATTGTTCAATTTCATAAGTAGAGCATATTTTGCTAAAATTTGTTTAGAATTTGTGTAGGCTAAAATACCCTTCTTATCATTTTTAACTTATTTATTTATATTTCGCAACCTTGTTTTCTAAACACTCGCTTAGCTAGTTTGGAGAATATTTTGTGTTATTTATGGTCCTAATGGAGCTGTTTATAGATGTAATGAGCAACCTAATTAGCGGTGTGGGGTTTAATACCATTTTCAATTGCAAAAATAAGTCCCTTTTCCGAAGGTTCCACTTTTTTTCCAAAGGTACCATGTTTTTGAACTAAATGTACCACTTTTTGGCATCCAGGTACCATGTTTTCTAAACACCCGCTTAGTTAGCTTAGAGAATATTTTGTGTTATTCATAGCCCTAATGGAGCTATTTATTGATGTAATGTGCAACCTAATTAGCGGTGTAGGGTTTAATACCATTTTCACTTGCAAAATTAAGTCCTTTTTTTTGGCGTCTAGGTACCATGTTTTTTAAACATTCGCTTAGCTAACTTGGAGAATATTTTGTGTTATTCATGGCCCTAATGGAGCTGTTTATAGATGTAATGAGCAACCTAATTAGCGGTGTGTGGTTTAATATCATTTTCAATTGCAAAAATAAGTCCTTTTTTTTTGTGTCCAGGTACAATGTTTTTTAAACACTCGCTTAGCTAGCTTGGAGAATATTTTGTGTTATTCATAGTCCTAATGTGTAACCTAATTAGCGGTGTGGGGTGTAATACCATTTTCAATTGCAAAAATAAATCCATTTTGTGAAGGTACCACTTTTTTTCTAAATGTACCACGTTTTTGAACTAAAGGTACACATTTTTGGCGTCTAGGTACCATGTTTTCTAAACACTCGCTTAGCTAGCTTTGAGAATATTTTGTGTTATTCATGGCTGTAATGGAGCTGTTTATAGATGTAATGTGCAACCTAATTAGCGGTGTGGGGTTTAATACTATTTTCAATTGCAAAAATAAGTCCCTTTTACGAAGGTAGCACTTTTTTTCCAAAGGTACCATTTTTTTGAACTAAAGATACCATTTTTTGGCGTCCAGGTACTATGTTTTCTAAACACTCGCTTATCTAACTTGGAGAATATTTTGTGTTATTCATAGCCTTAATGGAGCTGTTTATTGATGTAATATGCAACCTAATTAGCGGTATGGGATTTAATACCATTTTCAATTGCAAAATTAAGTTCCTTTTTTTGGCGTCCAGGTACCATGTTTTTTAAACAATCGCTTAGCTAGCTTGGAGAATATTTTGTGTTATTCATGGCCCTAATGGAGCTGTTTATAGATGTAATGAGAAATCTAATTAGCGGTGTGTGGTTTAATATCATTTTCAATTGCAAAAATAAGTCCCTTTTTTTGGCGTCCAAGTACCATGTTTTTTAAACACTCGCTTAGCTAACTTGGAGAATATTTTGTGTTATTCATGGCCCTAATGGAGCTGTTTATAGATGTAATGAGCACCCTAATTTGCGGTGTGTGGTTTAATATCATTTTCAATTGCAAAAATAAGTCCCTTTTTTTGACGTCCAGGTACCATATTTTTTAAACACTCGCTTAGCTAGCTTGGAGAATATTTTGTGTTATTCATGGCCCTAATGTGTAACCTAATTAGCGGTGTGTGGTGTAATACTATTTTCAATTGCAAAAATAAGTCCTTTTGCGAAGGTACCATTTTTTTTTCCAAAGGTACCACGTTTTTGAACTAAAGGTACCACTTTTTGGCGTCCAGATACCATATTTTTTAAATACTCCCTTAGCTAGCTTGGAGAATATTTTGTGTTATTTATGGCCGTAATGGAGATGTTTATAGATGTAATGTGCAACCTAATTAGCGGTGTGGGGTTTAATACTATTTTCAATTGCAAAAATAAGCCCCTTTTGCGAAGGTACCACTTTTTTTTCCGAAGGTACCATGTTTTTGAACTAAAGGTACCACTTTTTGGCGTCCAGGTACCATGTTTTCTAAACACTCGCTTAATTAGCTTGGAGAATATTTTGTGTTATTCATAGCCCTAATGGAGCTGTTTATTGATGTAATGTGCAACCTAATTAGTGGTGTGGGGTTTAATACCATTTTCAATTGCAAAATTAAGTCCCTTTTTTTGGCGTCCAGATACCATGTTTTTTAAACATTCGCTTAGCTAGCTTAGAGAATATTTTGTGTTATTTATGGCCCTAATGGAGCTGTTTATAGAAGTAATGTGTAACCTAATTAGCGGTGTGGGGTGTAATACCATTTTCAATTGCAAAAATAAGTCTCTTTTACGAAGGTACTACTTTTTTTCCAAATGTACCATGTTTTTGAACTAAAGGTACTACTTTTTGGCGTCCAGGTACTATGTTTTCTAAACACTCGCTTAGCTAGCTTGGAGAATATTTTGTGTTATTCATGGCCCAAATGGAGTTGTTTATAGATGTAATGTGCAACCTAATTAGCGGTGTAGGGTTTAATACTATTTTCAATTGTAAAAATAAGTTCCTTTTTTTGGCGTCCAGGTACCATGTTTTTTAAACACTCGCTTAGCTAGCTTGGAGAATATATTGTGTTAATCATGGCCCTAATGGAGCTGTTTATTTATCTAATGTGCAACCTAATTAGTGGTGTGGGGTGTAATACCATTTTCAATTGGAAAAATAAGTCCCTTTGTGAATGTACCACTTTGTTTCCAAAGGTACCATATTTTTGAACTAAAGGTACTATTTTTTGGCATCTAGATACTATGTTTTTTAAACACTCGCTTAGCTAGCTTGGAGAATATTTTGTGTTATTCATGGCCCTAATGGAGCTGTTTATAGATGTAATGTGTAACCTAATTAGCGGTGTGGGGTTTAATACAATTTTCAATTGCAAAAATAAGTCCCTTTTTTTTGGCGTCCAGGTACCATGGTTTTTAAACACTCGCTTAACTAGCTTGGAGAATATATTATGTTATTCATGGCCCTAATGGAGCTGTTTATTAATCTAATGTGTAACCTAATTAGCGGTGTGTGGTGTAATACCATTTTCAATTGCAAAAATAAGTCCCTTTTGCGAAGGTACCACATTTTTGAACTAAAGGTACTACTTTTTGGCTTCCAGGTACCATGTTTTCTAAACACTCACTTAGCTAGCTTGAAGAATATTTTGGGTTATTTTGTGTTTTTCTTATAGTACATTCATGTAATAGTCGAAGAAAATTTAGTTAGATCCTAATATAATAAGTTATGCAATACTAATTCATGAAAACCCAAAAGAGTAA